CCACCGCGCCCGGCCTCTTTTTCTTGCCTTGTGTTAGCTAGAACTTCCAGTATAATGTTGAAAAGCAATGATGAAAGGGACATCCCTGCCTTGTTCCTGATCTTAGTGGGAAAGCTTCAAGATTGTTGCCGTTAAGTATGTGAGCTGTAGGTTTTTTGTAGATGCTCTTTGTCAAGTTGAGGAAGTTCTCTTCTCCTCCTAGCTTGTGTCATGAATGGGTGTTAGATTTTGTCAAATGATTTTTCTGGATCTATTGATATAATCAATGTGGTTGATCTTTTTTAGCCTCCTGATGAGATGAATTACATTAATTGTTTTTCAGGTTAGCTTTTCAAATATATTGAAAGATGTATGACATCATTTTGCAATATCTCAATTATGATGTTTAGTATTTCCTTGATTGAATGAAGTAAGTCCCCAATCATATCAAAGAGTAAGAAAACATTTTTAAAGAATTTATTTTAGAGAGCCATCTTACTTCCAAGGGTAAGATAAAATGTTCAAATCCTTCTTCACTGTCACTATGCAGTTGAGGAAATAATCCGTCATTCAATGGATCACCCTTTGTTTTACTGTTAAAGTTGAACTATATGAAAATGCTGATGTTTGATATTTTTATCCACAAAAATGTTAATTTCCCATGGTTCAGCTTAATAATAATGTGGGAAAGTATTCATTGACTTACAGAGTCATAAGAAAGAAAGACCAAACAAAAAAAATAAAACAAAAACTGACCTTCTTTGCTGCAACTGGAGGTGGCCGTCGTACCAGCTCTTAACTCTGAACATTGGTAGTTTAAAAGGAAAGTATTAATATGTCTGAGAAGTAATTAGGGTTGAAATGTCATAATACCTGGTTTTACTTTATTGACATATTATAGTTATCACATATTTATATTATATCTTATAATATATTATATTTTCATATAGATGGAAAAATGTGGCAAAATATCAGCAATTGTTGTACTTAGGTTGTAGGTATATGAGTGTTCATTGTGCTATTCTGTCTTT